TGATATAGACTCGACACCCCTAACACACTAGCATCTAATCAGGCGGCGAGCGCTCGTGTTGTTATCGTTCTAATAACCTCTGAATGATGACATGTGACCTACTTGTCCAGAATTGCAGTGGTCCAGCTGAGTGGCTGGTGGAGGGAAACTCATCCGGTCTGATTCCACTTTGAGTCAACACATCCAACGTGTACATCTGACCAGGGAGTAACAAACTGGGAAACAGAAAGAAAATGCCACTACAGCAAACAAAGAATACCTGACATCATCCTTATAATACTGTTGAGGGCCTCAAACAATGATTAAATTGCGCCCTCTAGTGGCTGAACGATATATCACCCACAGCCATTTAAAGTGCAGCACCTCATCAGCACCATTTAGTGGACACACAGGATGCTGCAGGTCAGTGCATCACGTTGAACTTCTGGGTTGTCAGTGTTTGTAGCGCAGTGCAGAACCTCACCTGAACGTGTGCTCCGTGGTGCTCGTGTTGAGCACGGCGGTGCGAGCCTCGCCGCCGTCTGAGGGCAACAGAGACACGTGCACCCTGCTGACGGCCGCATGACGGGCCGCCTGAACCAGCCAGCTCAGCCACACCTGAGAGGAGGACACGTTGACCACCTGAAGCTGCTCCACCGGCTCAGGTCCTAGCACAGAAACACACACATGAAAACGCATCCGTACACAGAGGGAAACACTTTCCCAGAAGCCTTTTTCTTACTAATCCGCCATTAAAGAGTGCGCTCACTGGTGCGTATGAGTGCGGTGGCAGGCTGGCTGTTGTCGTTGCTGTTGGTGTTGCGTTTGATGGAGAAGGTGGAGATGTTGTACAGCAGGCCGGGCACCAGGCCTCGCATGACGTGGGAGGACTGCTGCCTCTCCAGCATGTCAGTTTTGGGATTGCTCCAGCCCAGGGGACCGTACGTGACAAGGAACCCGCTCATCAGGCTGTGTGAGGGCTCCGGCTCGTCCCAGCGCAGCTCCACCTCGTTCTCTTCCACGCGCAGCACATGGAGACCGGAGGGAGGCAACAGGTCTGGGAACAGTGGCAACCTTACATGTCAAATTCATACATTAAATAATTACAGAGTTGTCTTTGCAATGCAGAGGACGAGCGACAGAGAGCACAGGGGTGGTGTGACTCTCACTGACCTTTCTCACAGTCTTTGCCTGTGTGTCCGACTCTGCAAACACAGTTGTAGTTCCCTCTCTTGTCACTCCTGCAGAGGCCACGGTTTCCACAAGGCTGCAGTACGCACGGGTTCTCCACTTGGGGGTGACAGAGACAAGCAGTTAGTACGGCTCGGTTCACGTCTTTGCGCGACTCAGTGCAGGTTGTGTGAATTTTGCTTTTGACAGAATCGTGAGTCGATGCGAAGCCACTTACACATCTGGCACTGGTCCCCAAAGAAGCCGTCTTTGCATGCGCACAAATAATTCCGCCTGTAACCTCGACACACGCCTCCATTTAGACAAGGGTTGGACTCACACCCGTCCTGCTCTGCACACAGATATGTACAGTAGAATTTGATAGCTGTCCTGCATAATCTGTACGTAAACAAAATGCACAAGCTTCAAAAGCAATGCAACAGATCGCATGAACATTGTACCTATTTCACAGTTCTGGCCTTTGAAGCCTTGAGAACAATGACACACGTAGGAGCCGGGCCGGTCCTCACATGTCCCCCCGTGCTTGCAGGGTTCCGACAGGCATCCGTTTATTTCTACTAAGGGAGAAGACACACACATATACACAGGAAGGTCAAGTGTGTGTGCATGCACTGAATTTTTTGCATTAATATTAGACGACTATGATCAGGCTTTACCTGTCTGACAGCGGTTTCCAGTGAAGCCATCATCGCACTCACACTGGTAGGATCCGACCTGGTTCCGACATGTACCGGCATTAAGACAAGGCTGTGACAGGCATCCATTGATCTCTGTAATGATGGGGAATGAAGAAATTAGGACACTTTTGTAATTACTGTAATGTCATCTATTAGGACTTTTCTGGGATCATTAAAAGACTGTTTTTGCTCAGAGTGTGTGTCCATGTGCCGGTGTATGTTACACACCCTCACAAATGGGTGGCTGGCTCCAGTCTCCCTGAATGCCACAGATGCTCTGGGTGGCTCTGGGCACAGATATGAAGCCTGAGTGGCATATGTAGACCGCCATGGAGCCTGTTGTTGTTGAGGAGAACTGCACCTCGGCGTGCTTCACTTGTGGAGGCAGCCCGCAGCCAAGCGCTGAAATGAATACAAACACGTTGCTAATGTCAGCTCGGCTTGCATCGTGACGCAAGCTCACAAACGCCGGGGCTTAAAGGAGCTCATCCAGGAACATGCTAACAGCAACGGAGGTGTTTTCCATCCAGCCTCTCTGTTTTTATCCTCCTAAAATTATCTCCAGCATGCTGTTGGAGCACGCAGACATGAATCATCGGGGCGTACTTTATATAGGTTGTGTAGCCGCTCTATATCTGTAAATGTGGGGCCTCCAGTGCAGCAACACTGCTAAAATTATCCTCAGATGGACAGCCAGTATCTCTACACTCAACAGCTCAGGATATCCCCTGCCTGTGCCAATCTATTGAAGTCAGTGTTACACAAACTACAGCATCCAGATCTGGACATTATTGTGTGGTGACACACAGTCTGCTTACCTGCGGGGGTTTGTACTGAGCTCCTGCTTCTTTCACAGTGCCTGCCGCTGAAGGCCTCTGTGCATTCACATTTGTACTTTCCTATGTAGTGGAAACATGTCCCCCCATTCAGACACGGGCTGGAGGCACAGGGGTCTGGCTTCCCTGCAAGGAAACATACACACTGAGTAATAATAATAAGGACAAGAACAATACGTAACATGCTTGATAACGATACCAGTGTAGAGTGTAGACCTCCCATAAGGCCAAACTCCATATCTCACAATGTTAACAAAAGTGAAAAATCATTTTCGTATCCGCTATGTGACCGAAAATTACAATTTAACAAATGACCCTGTTACTAACGAAGGTCTCTGGTCTAAGATCCAAGATGAGGGTATTCCGCCGTTACGAGCCATTAAAAACAGCTACTTCTAAATGAACATCTAAAAAGAAGATCAGATGTTGGACAATAAGATGAAAGGCAGTCGCTGATAGAGGAAGGTGCCACGTTAATGTAAAGTAAAATCACTTTACATTAAGTTCTAAAAGATAAACGTAACTTTCTTAAAAACCTCTGAGGGAGCCCAACACAACGACTGTTGCAGTAATCTAAGTGACTTGTAATAAAAGTACGTGTCATCATTTCAGCATTGCTCTGAGTTACGTTGGCTAATTCTGGTGATGTTCGGAAGATGAAAAAAGGCATTTTCATGACCTTGGCAAAATATGGCAAAAAATGGCAAAGATTGGGGCATAAAGCCACTCCCACATCTGTAACTTGTGTCTCAATCAGTTTCAACAGAACCAAACATTGACTACAGTCTCTGCCTACTTTTGATCCTACAAGTAGAATCTGTTCTGCTCACTTAGTTTTACAAATATGTGACTCATCCAAACACTAATACCAGTATTAAGAGCATTCAAAGCACTGGGGGGGTTTTCTGGCGAATAGATTGCTTTCTGTGCATTTCTACTCAAATGCTTTCAGGAACAAACGTTTGTGCACTGAGTAAAAAATGTTTCGAATATTACTCGAGGGTGGCACTCACCCACTTCACAGTGTTTTCCAGTGAATCTGTAAGGACACACACATCTGTAGCTCCCTGCCTCTTCCTTACAGGAGCCTCCGTTGCGGCAGGGGCCAGAAGCACAGGTATTGAGTCTAACTGGAGAGAGACAGGGAGAAGGGAATCCTTGAAGCAGAGACCGGCTTTCAATCACGAAAAAAATAAATCACTTCCAGCACATTGAAATTCAAGTCATAATTCAGGAAAAAATAGGTCATAACTCAGTCATAAGTACAAATTATCATAAGCCTTTCGGCGCTTTGATATTTCAAGCAACATTACGAGTAATGGCATGTTTCCTGGTGCATTAAAAGCTGGGTTTGAGCCTGAGTAATAAAAGAAGGATGTTTTGAAAAAGGTACTTCGAAAGTTCATGTGAAGCTATTCTTTTATTTACATCAATAATACTACCTTTTTCACAGTGCTTCCCCAAGTATCCGTATTTGCATTCACAGGTGTAGCCTCCATCCCGCTCGTAGCAGTAGCCCCCATTCAGACACGGAGAGGAGTCGCAGACCGATCGGGGCTGTACTGAAAAACACACACCGAGACTTGACTGTGTTCCATTGCACTGAGAAACCTCGTTAAATGTATTCGAGCATGTGGGCTTGGTTGGAACCCCCCCCCCCCATAGATAATTTGTCAATTTATGATTGGAGCAAATGCAAAATCACTCTGAAATGTTCCTGCACATCGTAAATGCAAACTGAAAATGTGACCATTCCCTCTGAAATAGAAAGTGACACATGTAGAGACCAGTGTGTTTAACAATGTGTTTGTCACCGTAGAAACCAGCTGCTCATGCAGTGACGCATAGCTGCGAAGTGCCGTGTTGTTTGGTCGGTGCCTTACCATAGGGGTAGAAGTCCTTGTGGTCCAGCTCTGCTGCACTAGTCTGACATGTGCACAGGTAGGTCCCTCCGTACTCCAAGCAAGGACCGCCATCAGGGCACGGCCTGCTGTTACTGCATGGCGTCTGGGTTACTTCTGAGAGGAAGGCATTGTGAATGGCAGGTTCGCAATTTCTGGTTTGAGACATTTGTGATCTTACAGCGACCCACATTTCTTTTTCTTTCAACATTAATCCAAGCTCTTGTAAGACACCCGATAGGATTATACGTATCATACTCACCAAACTGACAGTAGAGTCCTGTGTAGCCTGAAGGGCATTCACAAGTCCCATTGATGTCCACACAGACACCCCCATTCTGGCAAAGACATTCCTCTGCAGACACAGAAAGAGAGAGAGAGAGAGAGAGAGAGAGAGAGAGAGAGAGAGAGAGAGA